GGATAATCTGCTCTGCATACAGGTTGAAAAGGTATAGAGATAGGACACATCCTGGGGTACAACCTCCCCAAGTTTGAACCATGTGGTATTACCCTGCTCTGTTCTGACGACTGCCTCTTGGTCCAAGTATAGGTTTCCTGTAGCACGATTAAATGCTCTGGGATTCCCATTTTTCTCAGAGTCAGCCACAGTTTGTTATGATCCATGCAGTCAAACGCCTTTGCATAATCAATGAAACTCATCTCTGAGTGCTTTAAGCCTGCAATCTTTAGGTTACTAATTTTATTCAAACCGTTTAGGCAGGGTAAGGATCTACAGCAAGATTCTGGGGTACTAGAAATGGCAGTTACCTAAGCATTTTAGTTCAATTCAGTACAGCAAAACTTACTAAGTTCTTACTTTAAAACTCGCCTCAGAGAATCACTGGTGACAAATTTGAGTAAAATGCAGTCTAAATCCTTAAGAAGCTCACAGACCATTAAGGAATAGAAAGGGATTAATTGACAGGGAACCAGACTAAACCTGTACAAACTTGTGACAAGATCATTTCTGTCTCTTTCTTCCTTAAGAAGTCCCTTCCCTTCACAAGACATTGGTTTGAGAATGAACTGAGTTTCTAGTTGCCCACAGGTCATTGGGCCCAAATTACCACATCCTCTATACCTATTTTGTCTTCTGAAATATTCCTGCCTTGTATTGTATGTTATGGGGCCAGATACTGTTTCCAATTTCACTTTGGATGGAATGAAGCCATTAAACCCATTCATAGTAATGAGAAAGTCTAGAAGAGATTTTTTTTTTTTTCAGGAGCTCTTTCCTCATTGAAAAGAAAAACTTTCTAGAGGCTTTCTAGAGAACAAAGGTGTAATTTTTCTATTCTCTTCCTAGGGTGATAAAATGGAAATTTCAAATCACAGAACAAGAAAGACCATTCCACCTACCCTAAGGAAGATATCTATGTCATGTGAGTAAATCTATAGTCCTCAGTTATAATAAGAATAGGTTAAAAAAAAAAGAAGAATAGGTCAAACATTTAATCAGATTCTCCTCTAGCCACTGTGAATTAAGGATTGTTCTTACATAACCATTCTAAATCCAAACATGTGTATTATTTTTAGACACACGCCCTATTCTAAAAGCAGCCAAGAAATGACCTAGCATAAATGAAAATAATAATGAAAGCTTTTTTTGTTCATGAATAGGGACAGCCTCTGGTAGAATAAAGTATCAAGAGAGCTAGATTTAAGGGATCTGAGTTGTAAGCTCTTTGGTGACTTTAGATAATGCACTCAAGTGTCCTAAGCTTACTATGAACTTTCTTTAACAAAAGTATTCTCTGTCAAGTTCACATTATGAATCATTGTAAAAATGGTATATAAAATTATCTTTTATGACAGAATGAGAATAAGACTTGTTAGAAATATTTGCTTTAGGCAGGAACAATTTTAAAATTTTATCTAGGGTTCCCCCCCCCATGTCATAAATCTTGTCTTTCTAAACTTACTACAGATAACTTGTTTGTACTAAAGGCTTACACTCAACTGAATGAAAAAGCAACTATTAGGTAGAGGTGGAATGAAAGGGTCCCAAGATGCAGGGTAGGAGGCAAAATAATGTCCTGAGGGACACCTATGCACATGTGCCAACTGGCTAAATTGTGAAAACAAGAACTAGGATAGCATCACACCACACCCAATGTGGCTGGAAAGGAAGAAAGTGACATACCATCTGCTTTTCTGCTTATGTGGGCTTTCAGTAGCAATCATATATTGATAGATTCCAGGCTGAAATGTCAGCCTTCTGTTGGCTAAATCAAACAGCAGCTCTTCCAAAAGTGTATATGAATACGGATCTGTGTTTACATGGACAATTAAAAAGGACTGAGGAATTGAAAGTCAAATTTCTCTTCTACTGCTACATATAGCCTGAAGTTGTTGAGGAAGAGCATCCCAACTTGACTTAACTTGGGATTCCTGATATGGGATAGTGGTTGTACTAAGGACCAGGGCCAAAACTCCATATTTAATCAAAAATAACATCTACATTAGAAATGTAGTTTCTATCCTGAGAAAATTACTTGGTAAAAAATTAAAAAAAAATAATATTGTCTTGTTTCAAGATTTTCCTTGGTACTTAAGATGGCAGGTCCAAAACCATTCTCAAAAGAAATACTGACTTAATTTACAGTGAGGCATACTTTCAGAAAATCTAATTCTGGGGTAGACATTCCCAACATAATAATTTTGCGACTTTTACAAACATTTTAGAAATGTGTGATCTCCTACCAATCAGATGTAACATCACTTAATTTTGTTACAGTTATCTAAAGGTCAACAAATCTCTAAAATGTATTACCCTTTTCTTGTTTTTTATTTCTTGATTCTAATTGTGACTTTAAAAGTATCTTAGTATGACTGTTGCAATAGTCCTCTCAGTTACCACCAGTTCATTAATTCTAAACTATACTTTCTAGAAAATTATCTTCATTCAAAGCTTATTAAATGTGCTTGCCATCCATTAATTCATTTAAAGTGCATAACTAGTGTTTCCAAAATTGTCATGACAAAGAGGAAGCTATTACAATTTGAGGTATAAAAATATGATCATAGAGTCTGGATATCATTGACAGATTTGCAATTCTGTCAGAGTCAGCAAGTGAGGTCCAAGAGCAGAGTTTAGGAAAAAGGAGGGGTTTTGGTTTTGGTTGTTTTGTTTCTTTGCTTGTTTGTTTTATTGAGATGAGCTTTGGTCAGAGGGCAAGGACTATGCCTCTCAGAATAATTAAGTATATAGTGCTTAAACTCAAATATACTAAGTCTATTAAATCTTTGTCATAAGTAGTTTTCATATCACAGTTGGATTAGCTAGAATTCATAAAACATTCTACAACATGGGGCAGAAAGAGTGAGAGCGTCATTTCAGTGTGGTCAGAACCAAACCATCAATGATCTTCCTGCATGTTTCCAAGGCTTTAAGTCACATAAGAGGAGAGATGGTCTATCTTTATCCCCGCAGAATTTCTGGTGGATCTGAACAATCAGAGAGGTACAGCCATTGGGTCAGCAGCATACCTGCCCACCAGAGTTTCCTTTATGTAGAAAAACTAAGATTCACAGAAGTGAAGATTAAAAACATCTGGTATTTAAAAAACACAGTAGTGGCAAGGATAATTTGGAAAGTTTCAGAAGAAACTGACAAGTAAGAAACCAGTAAATCTTTGAAAAATAATGATAAGTAGAAACTGTTTTTGAAATCCAAACCTGCTTCTGTACACCATTATCTTACTACACACACAGACACACACTCAGGCAAACATCATTACAAAGTGATTCTATTGTCAAAGAAACATTAGAAATTATTGGGTGTTTGAAATTAGCTAAATGAGTGAATGAAAAACAGTTATTGAAAAAATAAGAAAAACAAAATCCCAAGAACTCTCACGCTCATTGCCATTGAGTAGGAACCAACCCGTAGTTGACATCTCCGATTTTGTAGACGCTAAATCACATAAGAGGAGATTGTTTACCTTCCTCATGAAGAGCTGCTGATGGATTTGAAATAGCAGACCAGTGCTTCCTGGAAATAAACTTAAGGGAAATGGTAAACCATGGAAGAAAACTTTTAAAAATTGAGGGTAGACATCAAGATTTTGTTTAAAATGTTCAAATGAGTATGCATGTAATGTTAAAATTAGGGAAAATAGGCAATTATAGAATGATAAAATTATCTTTTCTGCCAGTTCAGTGCTCACTACAGTGAACATTCTTCTTTCCATTGCTCTAGATAACTATTTCTTTGATGCAATTGAGCTAAATTTCCAATAGCTAACCATGATACTACATAAAGTGGTTTTAAATTACATTAAAAACCTCAATTTCTCAGGGAAGCATAAACTTAGAGTGAAGCTCAATCAATCCACATCCATATGTAAAATCCATTCACTTTTCCAAAGGCTAACATTAAAATTACTATATGACACCACTGGAATTTAGGAAAATGTATAAAAAATAATTACTTGGTTTGAGGATTAGACAATTAGTTAATAATCAATGAGATCAAGACCAACCATTAAAAGTAAAATAACAAACTCAATTACCTGCCATTGAGTTGGAATAGATTCATAGCTGTCTTTCTGGAAGATTATTCAAGACATGAGAGGAGATTTTCACCTTTCTCCTGTAGAGCTCCTGGTGAATTTGATTCACTTCTGTGTTTGCAGTGCAACTTCCTATGGACTAGTCCACAAGAGTTCTACTGTTTCATAAAAGAAAGTATAAACCTGTACTGATAATTTGAGTAAATATCGAATTGTCCTTGGCGAGTGAGAAAATAGAACTAGTTTTTTGGCAGTGCTAGCAATGATGTCAATTTGAAGACTAAGGTGAGTCTGATTCGGGCAATGATCTTCTTAATCATGTGCTATGCATTAGAGAGGTGGACAATGATTATGGATGACAGAAGAATTGTTGCCTTTGAATTGTTGTGCTGGAGAAAAATAGAGAACATCCCATGGACTAGCAAAAGAACAAACAGATACACCTTGGAGAAAATGTAGGCAGAGTGTTCCTTGGAAGCAAAGTGTTTAAGCTTCGTCTTTCATACTTTGGACATGTAGCTAGGTGAGGCTATTCCTTAGAAAGAGACACCATTTTTTGAAAGATGGATGATTAATAAAGGAGAGGAACATACCCAATAAGATAGATTGACCCAATGACTTCTGCAATGGTTTCTAGTATGTGAAAGTTGATATGGATGGCACAGGATAGGACAGGTTTCAGATCAGCTGTACATAGAATTGTTATGAATCATAATTGACTCAAAAGTACCTAATAACAACAGGACGAGCATTCTTTCAAATTGAGAATACAGTGTGTGTGTGTATGTGTGTGTGTGTGCGCGCGCACGCGTGTGAATATTTAGAAAAAAAAGCCCAGAAGACTTTGAAATCCAGCCCAGTCTGCATTTACATCTATCTATCTATCTATCTATCTATCTATTCACCTATCTATCTGTTATACATCTAGAACTAGATCTAGATCTAGATCTATTGACTCAGTGATGAGTAGTTGTTCTGTGAACTACTACCAGCTGGGTTGGAACAAATACGGGCAATGTTCTTCTGTGTGAATCACTGCCTCTGAAAGCCAGAGGATCAGCTATTAGTCAGCCCCAACTTGATGGTAGATAACAATGAAAATACACAAACACATTTTGTGTGTGTGTGTGTGTGTGTGTGTGTGTATATATACACACATGCTTTTGTCTGACTATAAAAGACAACTTATTAAAGATGTCTCATATGAGTTAATTGTGTACCATTAATAGTAGTGCAGATTTCTGACACCTGGTACCTGTAAATATGAACTTGTTTGGAAAGAAAGTCTTTGAAGTTTCTATTGGTTAGATTGTATTGCAGTATAGAATGAATCCCAATTCTATACAACTAGTGTTTATAAAAGCATTAAGAAGTGTGAGAGATAATAAGGATGCCAAGCAATTCTGCTTCTATAAAGTAGGAAGGCTTTAGCTAACAGAATCTAGGAGAGAGGTATGGGACGGTTATTCTAAATATACTCAGAAGGAATCAAAGAATCAATATCCTAACTTGATCTTCTCTCTTCTGAAGCTCTGATGA